CTGATCTTGCATACAGCATACAATGTTTGAGTCAGTTCATGGCTAAACCTACTTCCCAGCACCTTGCAGCAGCTCATAAGGTCCTCAGGTATGTCAAGGCCACTCCTGGACAAGGTATTCTCTTTCCTAGATCCTCCAAACTGCAACTTAATGCTTTTTCTGATAGTGATTGGGCAGGTTGTCCAAACACTAGAAAAAGCATTACAGGTTATACTATTTTTTTGGGCAATTCCCTTATATCTTGGAAATCAAAGAAACAAAACACAATTAGTAGATCCTCTACTGAAGCTGAATATAGGGCTTTAGCTACTACTACTTGTGAAGCTCAATGGATATTATACCTACTTTCTGATTTACACATTCCTCACAATGAACCTGTTTTGATGTTTTCAGATAATAAGTCTGCCATTTGCATTGCCCATAACCCTGTGCATCATGAACGAACAAAGCATATTGAAATTGATTGCCACATCATCCGGGAAAAGATCTCCAAAGGCATTATCAGATTACAGCACATTGCCACAAATGAACAGCCTGCAGATCTCTTCACTAAACCTTTATCATTTCCTGTTTTTGATCATTTATTGTCCAAGTTAAACATGGTTAACATCCATGCTTAACTTGCGGGGGGTATTAATGTATAAGGGTTTTTATGTCTTTTCCTTTCTATTAGTATTGTTGTAACAAAACCGTGTTTCTTGTATTAGCACTTTCAGTTGTATTGTTAGAGTATAAATAGTTGTTGCATTAGGGTTTCAAGACACTTTTCATTTTTACAAGTTCTGAATAAAAGTTCTCTCTAATTTTCTTCCGCTATTCTTCAGTTTTCTCTCTGTAATTCTGGATTCATGATCTTAATAATAAGCAAAGATTATAAGCAAACTAAATAAATTGTAAGTTGGCTTATGGTACTTAGCAAACGCACTATAGACCATACGGATATAAGATACAAAAGTAATGTGACAAACGGAGGATAAATGTTTTTCTTTTATTTTGGCTAAACCACTTAGCACAATTTTTCTAATTAATCATTATTAAGCATCTGACCTGAGTGAGAAATGGTGCTTGCGGGACTAATATCGCTATCCGTGAACAGCGGCTCAAGAACAGATACTGGACTTGGTTGTTCTATTCTGTTGATTGCACGATCTGAATCATCAATTTCTGTGCTTGCTCGATCGGTTGAAGGGGACCCTGCTGGTGGTGATAACACCTGGTCGTCTACAGATAAATGCTGGACAAAAATCCAAAGGAATAAGAAACGGTAGTACAAAACAGCATAGTTTATCAAACAACAAACCACCTGGGCACAAGGAAAAGCCCATCTGGTTTCATTTTCAAGCAATTGTTTCCATTTCTGTACTTTTTTACAAACATGGAATCATACTTGCTTCAAGATATTTCTACTTGGAAATTCCAATTCTCAATTTTCACATAAAGTAATACCTCCAACATATTGTTTCAATTCTTAAATCGGTACATAATGAGATAACTTTTTTTAACATAATCGCAAAAATCAAATTTAGAAAACCTTACCGATTTGAAGCATGGGGAACCACTTTCTTCATTGCCTTCGTCTCTAGTGTCTCCAATCTGATATTCTCCACCAACTGAATTAGGTGAAGATTCACACGAGATATCAATGGCCTTTTCCGCTTCTTGTGCCCTTATTTCAGTCGTTCTTTCAAACTTCGGTTGACCTGTATGTTGAAAAGAAAAATAGATTACCAAATATTATAGTCCTCCATAATTATCCATAGGTAACATTTAGAAAAATTACCTTCAGAAACAATGGTATCCTCATTAAAGCACTGAATTTCTAAAGAATAGTCTTGATCATCTCCTACTGAATTATTAACATTCGCAAGCATAGACTGTCCTTTGTCGTCAGAGTTACTACAAGACACGCGTGGAGATAATCTCGTTTGAGCAGTTATAAAAATTTCATCATTGTGCTTTTTTGGGCTAAGGCAAGGAGAGACATTATACTCGGGCAGAGAGAGAATTCGACCAAGGGACTTGACAGAATTATTCCCAATCACCGACTCTGTATTCTGATCTCCACACTTTACTATCTCGGATAAATGTTTCTTAGCCTCAGTGCAAATGTTGGATCCTCCAAGCCTTTCCGAATCTTCGTCTTTCAACTTGCAAGCTGGCTCACCCTTCTTGAAGCTAGGAGAAGATTGAGTGAATTTTTCCATATAAAAATGATTCCTATTCGGGGACCTCCACCCGAAACTTTCGGACTTTTCGCTATAGTTTCCATTTGAGGGCTTAAGAGAAAGTTTAGGAGATGGCCTCTCGGGAGAGACCCCTCGTCTTTCTTTTCCCATAGCATGCCTTAGTTTTCTTTTAATCTCGGTGAAAGAGAACTGAGATGCATTTGTAATTTTCTCATTATCGGCAATTTCAGTTTCGGGGCTTCCTGGCGTGGGCGGACCAGGCTTCAAAATGACGATTTTATTCTGAGATTGGCAATCCTTACTATTATTCACTCCCAGGGGAAAGCTTTCGAGAGACTTGGTCCTTCTCCGGAAGAAATTTCTATGTTTGTGGCTACTTAACTCGTCAGGCTTTGGTTTATCCTTTTTTCTTAAGCAAGTGTCTTCAACATTTTGGATGCGCTTAACCAGTTCCGAGTTGGGATCCTCAATAAGTTTCATAAATAATCCCTTGTTCAAACTCAAAAGTTTCAAAGCATCCATTAGCTCATGGGAGCAAAAATTGTTCCCCTCGTCACCAAAATGCTTGATGTTACTCGATCTCTGTTCCATAAACAGTTTTACTGCTTGAACTAACTTTTCTTCAACTACAGCAATAGCCTCAGTGGATGGTTCATCAAAATTCAGGAAATTCATGTCTCTTCTGTCAACATTTGCCAGCTCTTGCAATACTTTTTCCATGTCAAAGTTACTCGACAGTTCGAAATCCATGTCGGTGGACTTGGAGGAACTTTTTTTCTTTTGATTATTTTTATTATGATTTCCAGATTTTGATTTGACTTGTTCGGAACCCATTTCGGAGTCGCTCAGTTGCGTTTGTCCTTGCTCGTTGAACATTTCTTCTTCCATAAGATCCTTGACACTTGTCTTAGATGCATCAGCCATATGAATATTACTTACTTCAGTGTCCTGAGTTAGCAAAGAAGAAAATTAAAAGAAAATAAACTACAAGTATAAAACAGGACCCTTATTGTTTGGCCTGCCTACACAAAAACGGATTATCTCATAATAATACACAACAAAATAACATACCACTAAAGTTTTACTCTTTTCAGTGAAACTCGGTGAAACTGTGTTGTCGTCACTTGAATGGCCAGCACCTGAAAAAAGACGTACAATACAATTGGTTAAAGACCAAAACATCAAAGTTTCTAAAAGAAGATAAAGAAAAGTTAATCAACATTCAATAATAGAACTCTTACCCTCATCTTGCTTGGTCACTTGTTTTCTATCAGTAAGATATCGTTTAGTTGATCGACCAGGACGAAAGTGAAACACATTAATTAAACCTGATATGCAACCCGCCTGGTCCCTGTCATGCCTTGAAGAGCGTCTTTTTGATCTCTTCGCCATATTGAGTTTTACCTTGCCTTTCGGTAACTTCACGCCGACCCAAATTAATACTCCTATTTCTGCAAGTTTAGCCACCCACAAGACTACTCAGTACCACAAAATAAAATAGGAATTACTAATTGGCAAAAAGTATCTCAATCCCTTCATAGAAAGTCATCAGAACACGAGATAAATCATTCAATCAAGACCAAAACCTCGAAACGAATGCAAATCCCCTAGTGCAGACTAAAGTCTCAGCTACAGTTTCAGAAAATGACAGCCAAAACGGCCATTTCAACGTTGTTATAAAATACCAACCAACAAAACTTGGAAAAAAGTTACTCAAAGTCCTGCTTCTGTTCCCATTCACCGAGTAGGTCCCAACAACATAAGGCTTTCCCCATTAGTATGTGTAGACGAGTAAATTCTTTTATTGGAATAAATAGTTCATAGATTAGCAGATATTTCAATCTGGAAATTCATGAGGGTGTTTTTGAATGATAATTGATAAAGCTTAAAAAAAAACGTAAAATTGCGCAAAAGTTCGATACTCGTAAGCATCAGTGGAGACCTAACATACACAATACTACAGACATATTTGTAGGCATGCACCGTGATCACCATGATCACCTCTTCAGTTCACCTGACAAGAGCATGCAATCTCTAAAAATTATAATCTCAAATCAAACAAAGAAAAACTAGAAGAAAATGAGACAAATAGAAACAGAGAGCTGTAAAATACTATTTGGTATCCCATACAACATGTGAATCAAGATTGTACCTCAAATAAGAGATTTATGACAGAAAATGATCAAAGAAAACAGAAATCTGGTATACAATTCTATTTCCTTATTTGAAAAAGGACTTACTTGAAATGTTTTACAACATGCAGGCCAATATACCTTTTCAATATGCTGAGGAGAAGAACAGTGTCTCTCTATAAAGGATAAATCCCATGTCATTGTTGTTTTCCTCTGGTGTTTGTCAAGGGATCGACTTTTCGACTTTTCATCTTCTCTTAAAACACAAACTTCCAAAGTCCTTAAGGCAAAATGACAAATTTTGATCTTCCCTTCAACGAAACAGTTGTTATTTTGCTTGGAAAAGTCTTCACCAACAACAAAAACTGCAGGAGGACTTGTTTTCTGGGTTTCTTAATTAGTCCCAATGTATCTAAGTTATCCAGTCTTTGCCTTCAAGAAAATGTTACTAAGTATACAAACAAACTGTACACAATCAAAAACCACAGATTGTATACACAAGATTTTAGGTGGGGAAAAAAAATTACCAACACAATTTAACAGCAACCAACCAGCCCCTCAGTCAATATTTTCACACGCTCTACAAAGTTGTACTCGGCAACACAACACCTTCTCAGGCAAAATTATGAAGAACCCAGAAAAAAACAAACCCAACACTAGAAATTCAAGACAACCCCACAAAAATTTTCTAAGGAAAAAATGAGGCTTGCATCAAGATAATCCCCAAAAAAAACCGAAAGTTGCAAAAAAAAAATTCGATCTTTGACAGGTATATACAAGCACTCAACACGCAAGAACAAAGAAAAGGTAGAATAGAAGGGCAAAAAAAATAAAAAAAAAAATTAAGGGCTTTACTGCTCTAATGGGAGAGTATCTGATTCCAAACCGACCAAAAAGAGAGAGAGACCCAGTGGCGAAAATCACCAACCCACTTATTAAAATGGAGCCCAAACATTACGTGTGGGGCAGCCATTAAAAGACTCTATTTTTACAGAGTAGAGAAAAAAGGATGAAAAAAAAAAAAAAGATAAAAGTGGTTGGAAAGTGTGAGCTAATTGCGTGTATGTGTATGTGTGTGTGTGTGTATGCGCGCGCTTTATCAACGGTTTGTGGTGCCAGGTTGGGACCATCACAAAGGGAAGGAAAAAGAGGATGATAAAAAGAAAACTGTGTTTAATCAAATAGTTCATATTTAGCCTAATTGTAAGATAAAATGTTGCCCATCGAGTTTTGATATTGCAAATTTTATGAAAGGGTGTTCGCAGTAAATGTTATCAGGGTCTTGAGAAAGCCGATTTTTGAACCGGCCTAGAACCCTTTAAGGGCCGGTTCAGTGGTGTTTTATTTCATTTTTTACATGTCGGCTCGTTTCTGGGTCGAAAGACGGATCGTAGTTGTTTTTTTATTTTTTTTAAACTGACTGTTCGAGTCAGGTGGACCGGCCTTAGATATAGTCGGGCTGATTCCGAGAAATATTTGAGGCCTGCCGATCCGACGGACCGGTCGTGAACCGACCCGTCCTTTGAACACGTCTAAGTCCATGAAGGCAATGTTCTAAAGAGTATCGAACTTTCCCAAATTTAAGATACTAGTTGAGAACTTACAATAATGCTGTAGAGTCAATGGTTGGCTCCCTTATGGAGCCAACACTCAATTAAATTGCTCCATGTAGAGATGTCCCTTATGGAGCAATTTAATTGGGTGTTGGCTCCATAAGGGAGCCAACAATTGACTCGATTTACAATTAATTATTGTTAGAACTAATTTGGTCATGGTGAGATAGAATCAAATGTTAGAGACGTAACACGTGTGGCTTCAAACATTGAATTTATTAAGCTAGGTCTGATTTATTTTATGGCTACTCGAGCTCGAGGATTTAGTCCTGCTCGACTTGATAAAAATAAAACACAAATTTTAACTCGAAATTTCAATTGAAAATTTTATAGTTAGGGATATTTAGGTAATTTTACGCATGTTCAATTTGGTCGCCAGTACTGAACGCATAAGATACAACCTTGAACTCGAGTTGAGGGTTGACTCAAGTGCTCACTAGTTGTCGGATTAATTTACAGTCTTACCTACATGTGAGATAGATTTTTAAAATAAAAGCAAAATAAAAAACTTTTTCTATTATTATAATTGTTGTTTACATAAATCTACAAGAATTGATAAAATTAATTAATCATTAGTTAATTTATTAGATTCGCACCTTGTATCCTAACTCATTAAGAAAAATAAGTATTAATTATTCCATCTAATTTTATATAAGCAACAAATAAACTAAATACTTCATATTAGATTCGGCATAACTTGTTACTAACCAATTGTTCAATTTATATATCAATTCAAGTTTAAATATTAGACAAAATCAGGAATTCGATAATGTTTTCATGTTGTTTTTTTATCAAGAAATCAATTTCGGAGTATAATAAGATTGTAAAAGTATGAATATTGGAAGTATGTGAGCAGAAACTATACATTTTTATGTCCTATTTGCTGTACACTTGTCTGCAATAAATAACTGTAACTACATTTGTAGTTGTAGGGCCATTTTAGATGAAAAAAAAAAAGGTTCACTTGGGTTTAATATATGGCTGATCATAAATGTGTGAATTTCTGGAATTGGACAAAAGATGTGCAACATTTAGTTGTTCCCTATTACGAAATTCGACTCAATTTCTACTTTTTTAACTGTTGGATCACACACACGCACATATTTTGAATGTGTTTTGATTGAACAATATATCATCTCATCAATAAGGTCGAATTTGACATTTTATATTGTTGAGAATGTGTTAGATTATACACTTGTGAGTTGTCTCACATCGTCCATACAGAGAAAATAGGTTTAACTTATAAGCCTCGTGGTTACTCCTCCTGCCATCATTTTGTTTTAAGATGGAACCCTATTAAGGTCCATTTAAGCTCACCCTACTTTGGTGCGCTTCACGTCCGCCGTGGGACTTCAGTCCCAATCCAGTTTATTGAGAATGCACTTTGACTATAAAATGAAATGTGTGATCTAATAGTAAAACTGAAGGTCATAGTTGTGATTATCTCATAACTAGTTAATTAAAACTGAACTTGGATTCAAATTTAGTCTGCCCCATAAGAAAATGATCATGTATAATCAATCAATCATTAAGCTGTTGACCCTCCATCATCATAATAATGAGATTTGCTTTAAATTCTAGAGACATGTTTTGTTTTTTATATATAGTTTTCTGTACTTAGCAATAAGGTGACAGGTTATTCAAATAAGCGCATTTAGCTCTTTACTTGAAAAGATTACAACAAATTACTTAGACAAATGCACAACACAATTGAAAAAATTATCCACATTAGTTATGCAATTTAGTTTATGCTAAGAACATTTAGTACCTAATCTGTTGTTAATCTGTAGCTAATTTTATCTCCGCTATTGATTAACCACGGAGTAGCTAGCTATTCAATTACGCAGTTAACTATGATCAGTGTAAGTAAGTGAACTGAGCCGTGCTCGAGCTCATGGTACTCGAGCCTTTCACGAACCAAGCTAACTAAATGAGTCGATATTTGAGCTTTGATTCGGCTCGTTTATCAATATTAAAAGCCAAACTCAAGCCCGAACGAATCAAACTATTAGTAATCATATAATTAAAAGTGTATTTACAAATCTTGACAAACTTTAACGAGCCAAGTCAAGTATTGTTTGTTAACTAAACGAGCTTGTAACGAGATCGAGCCACGGACTTAATTTCATATTATGTTCTTTATAAATATTTAGTGGTTGTGTATAAAACAAATTACATCGTTCTCAACATATTTATAAAGTCGAAGAGATGTTGATATATATTTGTTGCCTTGGTTTTGTCCATACCTATACATAAAATTAAATGTGACATTGAAAAAATTGAGTTTGAGGGGCCACTGCCCCTACTACTCACATATATATAGTGATATTTTTTTGTTCAATAAATTTGAAAGCACCTTCTCCTTAAACATATGCCCAGTCCCCCACACCATTTTCTTTAATACTAACTTCATGATGTGTTACATATTAATATTATTGATTTAATTAGGGGTGATAATAGTCATCATGATAAATGTATCAAAATATTTACCTTGTACACAACATAAATTAGGTTATAGAAAGCTATTCAAAATATTTAAACTGAGATTGAAATTACTGATTATACATGTCAGGATTAGACGATCATAGGTTTTCAACAAATTTATATATACTTTCAACCTGAAATGTCATAATCATTTCATAATCTA